TGCCCCTTTTCCCTTGCTTCTTCTGTTCCTTCTTTGTAAGGTTGCATGTGCTTCAGGTAATACAAATGCAGCAGCTCTTACCTGCCTCACTGACCTTCCTTTCAGATTTTATCCTTGCTGATTACTGTTCCCTGGTAGCACTGCAGAATTTATGGGAAGCTGAATTTTAGTACTCTTCCATAGAACTGACTTAAAAAAATGCACGCTATGAAAACAACACAATATGAGCAGCTGTTCTCCCACTGTCCTCTACCCCCTTTTGAACATATTTATCTAGTGAAAGTACCTTTTTTTCCTAAGTAATAACATCATTAAAACACAATATCTTTGCAAAGTTATAATTTACCTAAAATATAATACAATATGACTGTAAAGACTGATTGTTATGCAATATTTGGAAAATAGAATAAAATTTATTCTTTGTTTATCTGACATACCAATTTAACTGCATATCCTGTATTTTTATTTGCTAAACCTGGCAACCCTATTTATAGGCAGGAACATAGGCTTTTAAATTCATTTGATCCCTTAGATTTTAATAAGATTTATCAAAATGCAATACATTGCATTAAGTATTGGTTTCTGGTTTTTCCGGTTGTTAAATATTTAGACACTCATTGTTTTACACCAAAATTGTTGTCTATACCAAACTTTCACATACACTCGTTTTCCTTTATTCGTTCAACACAGAATTACTGAGCACCTGCTATTTGCTTAACACTTCCAAAAACTGGGAATCTGTGGTGTATTTAAGAATCATAGAATCTTTCCACTACTTGACTGTGACTCCTATTTTATATTAGAACATTTACTCCCATTGCATATAAGCCACTGTTACATATCTAAAGACCCATCAAATATGCCTCCTCCCCTCCAAGAGCAGGTAAACTGCACTAGATTAGCTGTCTTTTGCATATTTTCAAAATTCCCCCAAATTTATCAAATCAATCTCATGAGCATTAAATCACAGAGCACATCCAAATTACCATTCCATTCCTTTGCCCATTTTTTCCTTCAGCGCCCAAAGTTGGTAGACAATTGATCTTGTTATGGCTTGTGTTTAGATGTCTCCCTAAAGCCTCATGTAGTCATAGGTGGTTTTTTCAGAGGTGGCTGGATCTATAGTGTGTGATTGATTCATGGTGAAATGCTGAGATTCAGGGTGTGCGAGTACTAAATCGGTAGACCAATTGGTTTAGCACTGCCCTCCCTAATCCTTGTAGTCAAAATAAGATAAAAGGGGCAGAAAGATGTTGTTAAGGACCCTCCCTTATTGCTTTGCGACCTTCTGCCCACCATGAATGTATCTCCTTTGAGGCCTGTCTGCCACACTACCCTGCCTTGGAGACAGCCAGTCATGGAATGAAATTTCTACAAACTGTGAGCTAAATAAACTACTCCTCCTTTAACTTTGGGTGTCAGGTATTTTGTCTGAGCCACAAGAGAAAAATAACTAAGACAGTCTTGGAAGGGTTAATGACTGCCTGATACACCCTCAGCATCAGTTTGTGGAACCTCTGCTTGTCTTCACCGGGATCTGTCCATCTGAGGGTCCCTCCTCTGTCCTACTCCTCTCCTGAACCCTAACAGGAGATTTGGACTTAGCAGTGAAATTTGCATTTTTTCCCTCCCCTTTTCAACATTCTTCAACGGTTCTTCTCTTTCAAACGATTCCATCTATTTAATAGTAACTAACACGAGAGAGAATCAAAGCTCTGCAGTGTTCCAGAAAGTTCTTGAGATATGGTCCTATTTTAAGATTTTCATGTGTGACTCAGATTCTTTCCTCCCATATCTCATCTTTTGACAGCAACACATTTTTACGAGCACTCTATGCATCTTACTGTATATACTCAGGTAGTATATTTACAATTTATGACCACCCATAGACAACATAATGACATCAATGATATCAACAACTTAATCCTTGAAATTTAAAATGTGTGAGATTACCTGACAAAAGGGACTTTGAGGATGTGATTAAATTAAGGATTTTGAGATGAAGAAATTATACTGGATTATAGGAGTGGGCCCAGTAGAATCACAAGGTTACTATAAGAGAGGCGGAAGTGTGAGAACAGGAGAAAAATTTGAGGATGTTTTATTGCTGGCTTGATGAAGAAAGAGGCTGGGAGATAGTAGAGACAATGCATGCAGATATTACAAGCTGGAGAAAGCAAGAAATAGAATTGTCACCTAGAGCCTCAAGAAAAACTAAGGACACATTGATTTTGACCCATTAAGATCTATTTTAGACTTCTGACCTCTAGAACCATACAATAAAAAGTCTGAATTATTTTAAGCCATTTAAATTTGTGAGAATTTGTTATAGCAACAATAAGATATTGATAGTTGTATAGGGCCAGGCTCCAAGCAGTCAGACCTGACACTGAGTAAGATACTTGGGGTCTTTCTGCTAATTCAAGTGTTAACCAGTTGCATGCTAAGTTGTGGGAAGATCTGCCAGGGGTGGAAGTAGAAGATCATAGGTAGCTGGTACCAACTGAAGCAGTGATTTTTTCAGCAGTCAGTGTAGGAGTATCTCAATATACTTGCAGTCAGAATGGGTATATCAGTGAATTTCTATTCTGTACAACTAAAGTTAAAAACATAGAGAGGATTCTGAGGTGACTCTTGGAGTTTTCTTCTCTGAGGTCTTGATACAAATCCTTAACCAAAGTAGCCAAGGGACGATTCTAATACATTTCTCAATTCTTTTTAAGTGGCTTTTCTACAAAGTAGGCCAGGATGATTTTGCCTTGCTTAAGGGTTTTATTACTAAATGACTAAATTCTTGCTTGTTTCCAATTTACTGTGTGGGACTAGAGCTGTATCTCAGTGGTGGAGCACTGGCCGAGAATGCATAAGGTCCTAGGCTTGATGTCTAGTAACGCGCGTGCACACACACACACACACACACACACATACTCAAATTCAATTTACTATCTAAAATTTTCTTTTCTTAAAGTATGGAGCCTTTAGTTCCATTTCTTTCTCTCTCCTATTTCTTCCCTTTATCCTATTCTGCCTCTCCTATTTATGTTTGGAAATAAGTGAAATAAAGGTGAAAGAGAGTTAATGACTTGCTCTAGGTCACATAGCTAGTTATCCAGCTGAGCCCTAGGTCTGGATCAAAGTGCTTCATCCTGTCATGGTGATGTGCTGTTAGTCCTCCACTGGGAACCAGTGCTTCACTGCCATCTTCTTATAGTTAAATATAATAATTCTTCCATATAACTCTTTAGGGAATTCCACTGTATTTTGAATAAATCAGCCTCCTTGCATTGCCCTCAAGGACCTGCATGATTGGGCTCTCATCCTTCTGACAGCCCTGTCTTCCCAATGATCCCATTGGCTTCCCTCTGTTCTGCAGATGCCAAGTTCTGCCTCGCCTGAGGCACTGTTTGAGGGTAAATGTACTGTATGCATTGTCTAGAGCAGGCTCCTATCCTTCACTGTTAGGTTTGATATATACACTCACTGTGTTTGTATTTTTGCTGCCCCTATTGGATCTGTTAGTGCCAAAGCACATTTAGCTTGTTCACTGTTGTGGCACAGAGTCTGGCACACAGTAGGTCTTCAGCACTTACTGAATGATGTCTGTGGTCATTTGTCATGGACTCACCTTACGGCCATAACACCACTCTCAAGTTACAGAATGTCGAGTCCATCTTGTAAACTACCTAGATGTACTGCCAATCAAATACTGCAATTGAATAAAAGAAAGAAAGTTATGTGGTCAGTTACACAAAGTATCACAGCTGGCACTTAAAGGATGTGGAAACCAGCTTTCTGACCTCTGCAGTAATCAGCTTACACAGTGAAGCAAGAGATTTGAATCTCCTTATCTACTCTGAGATGAGAGTATTATGTTTCATTTAGTTACAGCCTTCTAGACAGAAATATCATATTTTATGAGTAATAGCATCTGTAAGTAAGATAAAAGACATCACAAAAGAAAATGAAAGCATTTAAAATACAACAATTACTGAAATAAAATCATCTTAAGGACATTTTTTCTGACAAGTTCTCTTAGGTTTTATTAATTTGTTCTAAGAATATCACCATGAATCTTTTTTATGAGTGTTTGGATCCTGCGTGCACTGTCCTTTCATTTATTCACTGGAAGCTAAGGCAAGACACCCTGTGGAACCTCAGCCATTTCTTGGTTTTCTCCAGGTTAACGCCTTGTAAAAGAAGATGGTATGGGATAGATTATGAAACAATTTAGGAAACCTGTGCATGTACACATTGTATAAGTAGAATTATGAGATATAACAAGCGCAGAACTGTAAGAATGTCAAATGATGACATTTTTACAACTTCCTCAGCAATTGAAACATTTTTCAATGTTTCATTGTATTTCCAGAGATATTTAAATTATTTTCACTCTTTTTCATTCCATTCAATTCTATTTCAGAACTACTTACTATTACCTAGGCAATAATCAGAGTATTCTCTGTTTAAAAATGTTTCTTAGCAAGCTCTGTTATTTAAATGCTAACTAATTATTTCCTTTAACCATCTTACAGGATTTTCTATATTCGATTATCAACACACCTGCAATGTCAAATAAAAGATAAGGTTTATGAGCCGTGTAAACTACAATAAAACATTTCAAGCTGTCTATGGCATTGTGGAGGGAAAATAATGGCAGTGTCTGGTTTTTATAATGTAATACTATTGTACTAAGGCCACTAAAGTCATTTTAAACATTGAAAGCATAAAGTAATTTTATCCTTATAAGTGAGCAATTTAGTGAAGTGTTTTAAGAAAATAGGATTTATAGCTCACTCTACCTATACACATATATGTAAATGTGTACATTAATTTCCTTCAACTCTCTAGATACTGAATAATTCATAGAAAGCCATAAAAATATTAGAATTTATTCCAAATTTTCAAATACCCACTAATTCACTGAAATTAATATAAATCTTCATTCATATAAATTATAATAAAAACTGGATGGACTATATTAATTTTTTGTTTAAATTTAGGTCTAGTGAACAGCTAAGAGTAGATTTATGTGGTGTGTAACTCTGTACTTATAAGGTAAGCAAAAAATTATTTATTATAATAAATAACCAGTATGAAGAAAGACTTAAATTTCTCTTTTAATTATTTCTATGTAATAACAAACCACTTAAATTTATTGTCATGGAAACTACAACTTTATAACTAAATTATAAGCCACCTGTCTTATCTTTATAATACCAAATTTTTCCTTGCCTAAAATATAGTATATTGTATACTCAATAAATACTTATTTAATAAACAAACAAATTATACATGGTGAAGAACAAGTGTTATTTTTGCTTTCTGGAGCTGACAGGCTGCTTTGATACAGTCTTTCTGGTCCCTATGCTGGGCTTTGGCCTCTGAGGTTCTTTTTTTTGGTGGTGGGGCAAATACTGGAAATTGAATTCAGGACCTCATGCTTGCCAGGCAGTCACTACACCACTGAGCTAAATTCCCAGCCCAGCATCTGAGTTTTTAGTGCAAGTTCACCAGCTACACTATAGATTTTTCTTCCAGAAATTTTAATATTTAATAACTCCTAAAGTGTTAACAGAATTTTTTCAATTAATGATTAAGAATTGATAATTAACCCCCATTTTTACTGAAGAAATGTAAGATTAAAAATAAAATTGATATTTTAAAATATTTTTATAATTACATACATGATTTTAGCATGTATATATCGATTTGTGTATCTATGTGTGTACACAACTGTATTTTCTTTATCTACCTGAATTTCATCTACCTAATCTTAATGGGAGTTACTACATTACATATTGCCCTAGACCAGCCACGCCCTGGCTGTTACATCTTTTGTTTAAATCCTTACAAGAAAGTTCAAAATAGAAAACAGAGAAATGACATGTTAATTTAACTGAATTGGGTAAAAGACACTGGCAAACAAAAAAGATCTTTCATTGGAACAGAAAAAGTCAGAGAGAATTCTAGACTTAGCTCTGGTACTAACTGTACATCCAACATCATGGAAACTCTTCCCTCTCTATCTTCAATGTTGACCCCTACAAAAGGATTATGTAAGATGTTTTCTAAAGTCCCTTAAGCCACTAAAAATTCTTTGCCTATAATACAAATGTCAGTCTTACTTAAAAATTGAAAAAAATACTATCCAACAACTTAACTTTTAAGATCTGTGTGGGTTGAATTATGTCCCCCCAAAAGATATATTGAAATCTTAACCCCAAGTACCTCAGAATGTGACCATATTTAGAAATGGGGTCATTCGCACATATAACCAGTTGAGATGAGGTCAGATTGGAGCAGGGTAGGCCCAATATAATTGGTGTCCTTATAAGGAGAAAAGAGGAAGAGATGTTAGGGAGAATTCCAAGTGATGGCAGAGGCAGACACTGGAGCAAAGTGTCTACAAACAAGGAATTCCAAGCACGACCAGCAAGGACCAGAAGCTGGGAAGAGGCTAGGAATAGATTCCTTTAAGAGCATCCAGAAGGAGCCAAATGTGCAGACCCATTCATTTGGATTTCTAGCTTTTAGGGTTGTGATAAAATGTCTGTTGTTCTAAAACACACAGTTGTGACATGTTATTATCATAGTCTTGGGAAGCCATTATGAGTATCAGGAAATCAGTGTAGTACTTTGCATATGAATTTCATTTTTAGATTAACATATTGGATACATAGTATTTAAATAAGCTTTAAATAAGTGTTTACTACAAAGCATGACATATTCTCAATTTTTTTAGATCACATTTTAATTCATTATAGATGCACTGCATGACTAATTCACTAATTCTAGAAGTCTAAACATATCTTCCAAAACTATTAATTGGTAATAAGCATTTTTGGAAAATATACCTGCCTTGAAATGAAATAGTTGTATTCCCCACCACCAGTCTGTAGGTTTAGAGGCAGTGGGAAGTGGTTAAGGAACTACTGGAATTCAAATCCTGAGTCTGCTTCTTTCTTCCTACTATATATACTGTGGACAAATAATTTAGCCCTCAGTGCTTCAATCCCCCAAGTAACAAAATAATTTATCTTATGAAGTTGTTAGGTTGATTAAAAGAATCCACTCATGTTGAGGTCTCACATGATAATTGGTACATAGTGCTATGGTCTGATTGTTTGGGTCCCTTGCTAATTCATATGTTGAGTTCTAACTTAAAAGGTGATATTTGCAAATAGGGCTTTTGCAGGATGATTAGGTGATGAACGCAAGGCCCTCACAACTGGTTATTGTCCTTATAAATATTATATTGTCTTATTTGCATATTATTATTGTCTTTATAATAGAGACTGTATAATGATAGCCAGTCTCTTCCACCCTGTGAGTATGAAGTGAGAAATACTTTTTATGAACCAGGAATCAAAAACTTATCAAACCAGAATCTGCAGGCAAATTAATCTTGAACTTCCCAGTCTACAAAACTGTGTGATATAAATTTCCATTGTTTTAAAAACTGGTTTATGATATTTTATTATAGCAGCGTGAACTGACTGAATAGACAGCAAGCTCTTCAATATATGCTCAATGTTACTTTCTTCTCGTTCAGTGTTGCTAACCCATTGCCATGAATTGACTTCACAGAGCAAGTGTGACATGCTGCTTACCTGCTTGAACACGTTAAGTGATCCTTCACCACATACATGAAGATGTTAAGCACTGTCCAAATGTTGGCCCTACGTAACCTTCTGCTCTTTTCACCCTTCTATCTATTGCAGTTCCAACCTCCTGTAAAACCCAGCTCAGATATTTCTCTCTACAGACACATCAGACTTAATCACTCTTCCTCCACTATATATCCACAGCACAAGGGTGAGGGTGTTATATTCAGGCTTCCCAGGGGTTATTTGTGTATACTCTGCCCCATTTGATAGATTATAACCTCCAGGAGAGCAAAATCTGTATCTTTCCAGTTTTGTATCCTCCTTAGCATCCATGAGAGAATTTTACATTTAGTAGATACTCAATAAATGGCTGTTAAACTTGGTTGAACCCACATTTTTTTTCCCTTTTTGGTAGATGCCCTAAAAAAGAAAACATAAAATAAGTGAATTACTTCTCTTCTTTCCATTGCAATGTATAGGCCCTGGGCTAGTCAGTATTTGCAAGCCAAGTTTAGAACTTAGGGAAGTCATCAATCTAAGGAAAGAGAAGAAATGAATTTTAAATCACAAGAGCAATGTAGCCTGATATAAGGCCTTCTAGCAAAGCAATTATTGATGACTCCATAACCCAGGTGCTAGGGTTAGTACAAACAACAGTCTGAGATGGAGAGACAATGAGCGATCTTAACTTTTATATTTCATAGGTATGCAATTAAATGAAACATGTACAGATGGAAAAGTTTAGATCTGAGAATCATATGTGCTATCATAATGCAAATAATTGGCTTTCTTTCTAAAGAACATCTGTGGAAACATCTGAAAGCAGTTGTTTATACTGCTGCCAAAATGCTGAAAAATATAATAATTCTCTGATGAGGTTAGCAATATCCAGGGGAAGAAAAGTGTTTTTTATATAGTTCTGTTTTTCTTAAGTCTTGTTTCTCTAATATGACACATAGGAGATGTTCAATAATATTAGCTGAATGAATGTTGAATAAAAAGCAGAAATTCAGTAAATAGTTGTGGAATGAAGCATGACTTTTTTGTTAGACTTATAGATATATTTGCAGAAAATGGTAGGCTCACAAAATTTTATCATGTCATATACCATTTTTATTTGATATAAGTTTAAGTAGTGCTACTCTTGCTCTGTACATTATAGAATATAATCAGCATATATATCTATGAGAAAAAAATCTTACCACTATGCAAACATGTATACATACACCTATAAATATCTTAATGTGCTACTTTTATTCACTATCATGAAGCATGTAAATCTTGAATTGCAAGCTAACATAATTGTTTGCTTCAGTAAACAAGATTAAAATTTAAACTCCTAGTATCTATTGTTGTGGTATCTCTAAGAAGATTCTAACAAGATATAAAAGCACCTAAGTATTCTGGGATTTGAAGAAAATGCCTGAAGATGAAGATACCCTTTTTCCCTGTCCTCCCTCTCTTGAACTTCCAGCAGCTTTCTCTTCCATATCCCATATGAGTTACGTGACTGAGCTCCCAAAAGGCTGCCCAAATTTCACCCTGCCAAATTTCTGCACTGAACGAGCTTGTTAAATAATAAATGGAGTTTGAGTGTAACTAATAAAATTGGAATGTTAAATAGGATCACGCTTTTGAAAACCAGCCTTCTTGTGAGGGTTCTCCCTGTGCAGGTCCACAGTAAATAATTCTGAAGGGAGTGGTAGTAATTAGTAATGTAATTTATCTCCTGGAAGCCCTTTCCTTTGACAGCAGTCATGGTATAGTTCAGAAGCCTCCATATGAGAGCTCAAAAATGTAATTCAAAACACAATTCAGCTTTGTTTTTCATCCTTAAACAGATAAAAGTCAAATTTATTTCTACATATCTAAATTATATATGTAATGATTATGAGTTATAAAATATATTTATGCAAAGTTTTGCATGAAATGGTAAAATGCTTGTAATCAAATTCAAGGAAAAAAAGAGCAGAATCCCAAATTGAATGTGTGGTTTCTGATTCCATATTTCTTGGTTTCCATTCTCTGCCCTGTATTAGGTGTGTAACTTGACAAGGTACAGGGTTCAAATCCTGATTGTGATACTTCCTAGCTGTATCAGTCAGTGGTTATTAGAGAAAAGTTTTAATACAAGATATATAAATATGTAAGACGAACCAGGTGGGGAAAAGTGCAAAAAGGGTGTCTGTTCGCTGGACATCACAAGGATCCAGTTAAAGCACTGGAGTTCACTGTAGTGTCTCATACAAGTCCATATCAGGAGACTGAAGGGTCTGAGATGGAAGGCTAAAGGATCTGTGCTGGAAGTCTAGAGATGACATCCAAAAGGAAGGTGAAGACTGAAGCTCCTCTGAGGAAACAGAAGGGAGCCTTCCTTCTTCCCTTCTCTTTTATTCTATTTAGGCAGGAAGCCTATTGGTTGCTATCACTCACGTCCAGGGTGGGTCTTCTTTCTTCAGTAAATCCTTTTAGCCACACCCACAATCAGATAACTACCACACTAATTATTGTACACCCAGACAAGTTCCTTAGCTCTCTCTGACTCAGTCCTATATTAATAAAAGCACGGATCTCATAGTATTGTTAACTGATGTATATGTGAAAGTCTCAGTCATAGTAGAGTTAAGAAAACTGAGGCACAGAACAAATCAATATACAAATGGAATTCAGTGAAAAATTGAATTGAATGTTTCACTAAATTCCATTTGTATATTGCTTTGTTCTGAAGGTAAATAACAAAGTTCATCTAAAAAGGATATGTACTGCTCAGAATAGTACTTGGAAAAATACATAATCCATTATATTATGTAATAATAACCACTTTTATTGTTATTAAACATGAATATTATAATAATACATTATTATTATTATTATTTGCTACAATTTCAAGTTTTATAAACAAAAGGTGCTGAATAACTAGGGTTATCTGGAAGGCAACAGTCAAAAATTCATTGCTATTTGCTTCTGGATATTCCTATGGGCATTTATTTTGCTCTTCATTACATTTTTCAGTATATATTCTTTTATAATAGTTAAAAATTAAATTTTATGCTGAAATGACTTGATGAGGATTAAGATAAAAATCTAGATTAGGTTAAAATTAGTAATGAACCATACTACAACATTAATATTAGTTAAATCTATTGCTAAGTGACAAAAATTTCACATTTATGTACCTTATTGTACTTAATTCTAAATATCTTCAAACTAGAAATTACTTTTTAAAGTTTAATCAATGTGAATTTTACAGAACTAAAGTCAGATGTTTACCACAATGTCAATATTTTGACCAACTAAAACTAAAAGTATTTTATTTTTTATTTTTAAAAGTCCGGTGCAAAAGTCCCAAAGGTGCCTTTCATATTTAATCTTTAATTAGAAACCACTTTGGTTTCTGACACATATTGTGCAGATATTGAAGTGTTAATATTACTGCAGCTTGATTACAAAAGGCAATGATTAATTTTAAAGCAGACAAAAAAGATAGGCCTTGATTACAAAGGAATGATTAAGGCGAATGTCAGACATTGTACATTTATAGCAGTCTTTTGCCATTACCAAAGGATAAGACTTTGGAAAAGTTTATTTTTAGAATGCAGGACACTTTGTACTTTATAATACCTGAAGACAGAGCACCCTAAAACCCCAACTCCAGTAGGGATTGAAGACCCGTGTTTTACCCCTAGCAAACCATCCTGGCCGCAGACTGGGCCCACGGAGCCACCATAGTCTAAATTCTCGCGATGCCAGACGGGACCTGAGGCCTGCCGGGAGCCTGAAGGCAAGTTTATGGCCTGAGGTAGTGCCAGAAGGTGCCACGTTGCTGAGAGACACTGTACTTTGAGGGTCTTACTCAGAAGTATAGATCAGAAGGGAGGGGTGGGAGGAAAGGGCTGAGCATAAGAAGGGTTGCGGCCCAGACCCGGCGAAGAGCGGAGTTCCAGTAGGGAGAAAGGCAGAGCTCGAAACTGTCGTACGCGTGTGTAAATTGTGTGGCGGCCGACCAAGGCCCGTGTTGCCCTCTGCAGACCCTCAGGGGCCGACTCCGTTCCCAGAGTGCCCCGCGCTCCCCCAGGCCGGGAGGTGAGGAGCAGCTAGCTCAGAATACTCGCAGCAGAATCCGTCTTTATTGTGCTTTCCAGGATCCTCAGACTCGGTTATAAAATATTTAACGGAGAAAGAAAGGATCCACAGGAGCCCGGGCCGAGATGAGTTTAGAGTCCTTGTTTCAGCACATCATCTTCGCAGAGCACCAGGCTGAGGAGAGTCGGCGGGTGATGCGCGAAGGTCTGGTGTTTCTGGTCCTTTGCTTGGGGCTCTTGTGTTCTCCAGCTGGGTGCTTGGAGCAGAGGAAAAAAGGCCTGAAGGCAATGGTCAGAGCCATAAGAGGAGTTTACAAAGATTGATGTGTTTATAAAGATCTAATTTGTATTACAGTAAGGTCAGAAATAACCAGATGTCGCGAAAAAATTAAGAAAGCAACGGAGAAGCTGAACGAAGAGAAAATCAAATTGGAATCTAAGGTACTGAAGCACGGAGCATGCGAAATATCACTTTAAAAAGTCTTTCCGATTGTAGCATTTTTGCGATATTTTACCGCTTAACCACTTGTTCTTCAGCTATGAAGCACAGGATTTCTATGCTGGCTGGTGTAGTTTCGTGAGATCTCGTAATAATTAGAGTTCTAAATCTAGTGATAGCTTCAGTTCTATCGTGACCTTTTCTTAAAAAAACAGGTTAAGTAATGGAGAACTCATTGCCCGTTTCGTGGAATGATTAAGTTTTTAAAAGAGCACAATGTCAGTGGAAGAGTAATTGTTTAATAAGTAGTTGGTGCAGTATATACATTTTGAATAATAAATAATTTAAGTGTGCTATGTCAATGTAATGGATTGACTGTAGCTTTCAAATGAGTCTGTCTGCCTTTTGGTTTTCAATTCTCTACTGAATTTTGGACGGGACTTTCATCCGAAAGGATACCACTAGCGTTTCTCTTTTCTGCGATATTTATGGAGTTCTGTTATTTTAAAAATAGAAAAAGGAAGTGTGGTGGCTTCTTGAAGAAGGATTTTAAAGGGTGGGTAGAATTACAAGGAACAAAGAGAAATTCAGGAAAAAACAGTGTGGCAGAGAGAGGAGGCAGCTCTGTCCCAGGCATATTGCAAGGGGAATCTAGTCAAAAGCCAAGGGAATTGGCTTATGTGGGAAGTGGATCATCATTGGATCATTGGATCATCTGGGAATTAGAGGAGACTATTGGCAGTGTTTGATCAGGTTGTGGTGTGATAAAAGTAGTTGTAGGAAGATCTCACTGAGTTCTGACTGGGGGAATAAGGATACATAGGAAACTAAAAGCATTTAAGAATGTCACAGTGAAGGCCTCACTATGGTGTGAGCAGTTATTCAAAAGTATTTATTCAACACTTAAGGAAGAACTACGCAAGCGGTACGCAATGAGAACTCTGAGCAAGTCTGTTTACTTTAGATGTGTTTGTTATAGCTTATTGCATTAAGAAGAATTTTGGCTCTGTGAATAAAATAATCCTAGGATCTCTTCATCTTTTGAGCTTCGGCTCTTTGTTCCATGTCTTATTCAGACATCACCCAAAAAGCTCTCCCTGGGCACCTTGGTAAAATTATTTTATTAAACAAACAATACTTATGTTTGTATACCCCATTATTTTCTGAGCAGTGTATTTAGGAAAATGTCTTACCCAATTTTTATTCTCACTGTATATTTTCCCTAGTGTATATATACATTAGTGTATACAGTGAACTGATTACTAATAATGTGAAGACAATGGGAAAGTACAATCTTTTTAGTTTAATTGACACATAAAATTGTAAATATCGATGATATCATGTATCAGTACATTTTGTAGTGTTGAAATCAAAGTATGCATATCTACTCAATAGTTATCTTTTTTTGGTACCAGGAGTCAAACTCAGGACCTTGTGCTTGCCAACATGATGCTTGTACCGTTGAGCTGTATTCCCAGCCCTATTTGTCATTTCTTTGTGGCAAAAACATTCAAAATCTGGTAGCTAATATACAGTAAATTTTGTAATCCATAGTCACCCTGCTGTGCAATAGAACACCAAAATTTACTTCTGTCATCTAACTATAACTGGGTACCTAGTGACCAGCCTTTCCACATTTACCCTGACCTACTAGAAGGGACCAGCATATTTAAAATAGAATTTGGAACTATTATTTGGTAGAGACTATACATTTTGCTTATGAATAGCAGATAAATTATCTGCTACCAACAGTGCCAAAAGCTGATGTGATGGGCAAAACATAAAGAGTGTCATGATGTAGCTTTTTTTTCCTTGAAAAAAAAATTAAGATACTTTCAGGCCTGCTAATTAGAAGCTAACAGAATAGGCAAAATGTATATGACTACGTCATGCATAGCTAACAGGTATATTGGTATTTATGTGGTGAGCATCATTCTAAATACTTCACTTGTATTAACTCCTTTAATCCTGACAGGAAATCTGTGATGAAGCACCATTCTTATCCTCTCTTTGTAGGTGAGGAAAACTAAGAGATAAAATGACTTGTTCATCATATATAATTTTAAAAAATTAGACTTCCATAATGAAAACACTGAGTGATGCCAGCATATTTTATTCAAACAGATTTCTTGAGCTTATCTTGAACTATTTTCTCCATGACATATAATGATACATCTGAAGCTTTGCATCTGGGGCAGTATTTTTAAAAGGTCACTTATGTAATGTGTTTGTGCAAATTGCATTTTTCCAGGATTTGTGAAGATAGTGACCTGACAGATAATAATTTTTTTAGTAAAAAGCTTGGTCTTTGTAACATTCTCTTTGTGAAATAATGTTTTCTTTTTGTAATATTTTCTTTGTTACTAGGCTATTTTGCCTGAAATGGAAATATAATTTGTTGATATATACACATACATAAAAAATGATTCAATTGTTTGTATTAGAGAGGAGACAGAACAAATCTTTAACATTGTTTAGAAACGTTTGCTGAAATTACTAATTAATATAGCCTCATAAATGTGCTTTGCTTTTTAATCAGCTCATATACATGGGTTATAATACAATTGTATCTTACTAATAAAATTAACATATGAGGGTCACAGTTCATGCAACACTAATTTGTAATTGAAATAATTTGATTTATAATTATAGTCAAGATGATATGTGTGTGTTTATAAAGATTTTAAAAGTGGAACTACAATTATAATGTGAATGACTAATGGGGAAAACGAAAGAAGTAATTATAAATTGATTTCTTGTTTCTTTTATTCTTTGAGTTAATTATATGTCTGCCTATAACAATGAAAATATATTTACTTGAATATTTGACTTGGCATTTATTGACCCATTTATCAAGTGGAAGTAGTAAAAGGAGAAACTAGAACATACTTTGAATAGAAGAATGCTTGAGCTATTGTACAGTTGTATATTTGGAAAATATTTGGAGCATTTATTTCAGAGGCTGCTTGTGGTCAAAATGTATTTGGGAAGTATTCATTTTTTTTTCTGTTCTGTAAAACTCAGGTAGCATGTAATTAGAACTTGAATGATAGCACCTGCCTTTCAGGGCTCAATGGATCCTTTGAAATATATGGTTGCAGAAGTCTCAGATTATATAGTATGAGTACTTCGTGAATTGGACAGCTATAGTATGCCTGGTTAGGTTTGGTAATACAAAAAACAGAAAGATGAGAGCATGCCCTGGTTTTACATTAATACTTACCAGTATACCTAAAGATTCTACTAGTCAAGGAAAGGTTTTATAATATTGATAAGAGAGCAAACCAAATTTAAGCATTTAGAACAATTATACTTTCTTCTAAGCACCTAAAGTTTTCTTCTATTTAAAAATAATTATAACTTGGGCATTTAATATTTATAAATATCTGACATAAAACCAAGTATAATACCATATTCTTTAAGAGGGAGTAGTAGAGGAAAATCTAAAGCTATTTTGTGAATGTTTTGTTCATTTTACTTCTTCCAATTTTAACTTACTGCATAAATATCATGGCAATAATAATATTTTATAAATTTTAAAAGGAAATGATACTGACATGAGAAAGTAATTTAAGGTAGCTCCATTTCTTTATTTCAAAATATCCAATTTTTAAAAAATTGATAAAAGTTAGGAACCTTCCCATAGTGGCAAGCAAAGTCATATTCTTTAATAGTATATTACCTAATTAGGGAAAGAACAAAACCACAAAATGTCATGCTTTAAATATGGAAATGGAGTTTTATAATAGAGGTTTTTTTACATTTTAGCAAAGAAGAATTTACATCTGCCTAGTTATTTTCTTTCTTATTGATTAAAAGTTGCATGAAGACATTATAGCTCTCCTCTACTTAAAAGTTATTTAATCTTCATTTTAGAAAATAAAATGGAAATTCTATTTTCCAAAATATAATACATTGCTGTATTTTCATCAGTTGTGACCAAGAAAATTTTAAGAATGGTTACAATTTTTTGGTTTGAAAGTCTCTGTGATTTCTTTACAGATAATTCCTTTAATTCAGTTGTCTTAAAATGTTGAAACTCCCCAAGGAAACAGAAGAAAGATGCAATCTGGAGCATAACCAAATTAGGCTTACATAAGAGGAAGAGTATAAAGGCCTCGAGTTTATCTTTCTTTACAGCTGAGTAATATTCCATTATATAAAAGTACCATAATTTTCTTATCCAATCCTCGGTGGATGGACATTTGGGTTGCTTCCACATTTTAGCAATTACAAATTGTGCTGCTATGAACATAGGTGCACATATATCACTGTGATATGATGTTTTTAGATCTTCTGGGAAAATACCCAGCAGGGGGATAGCTGGGTTGAATGGGACCTCTAAACCTAGTTTTCGGAGGAATCTCCAAACTGATTTCCACAGTGGTTTCACCAGTCTGCATTCCCACCAGCAGTGGAGAAGGGTTCCTATTTCTCCACAGCCTCGCCAGCATTTGTTATTGGTTGATTTCTTAATGCTAGCCATTCTTACTGGGGTAAGGTGGAATCTTAGTGTTGTTTTAATTTGCATTTCTCGAATGACTAATGATGTTGAACATTTTCTCATATATTTATTTGCCGTTTGTATCTCCTTGTCTGAGAAATGTGTGTTCATCTCAGCTGCCCATTTTTGGATTGGGTCTTTGAATTTGGAGGGGCTGAAATTTTTTAATTCTTTATATGTTCTAGATAGAAGCCCTTTGTCTGAGGGACAATCAGCTAAAATTTTTTCCAAGTTTGTAGGTTTTCTTTTGACTCTGCTGGTGATTTCTTTAGATGTGCAGAAACTTTTCAGTAGGATGAGATCCCAGTTGTTGATTCTTTCAAGTGTTTCACGTGCAATTTGGTTTTTATTCATGAACTCTCTGCCTACCCCTATGTCTTCGAGGTTTTTACCTACTTTCTCTTCCAATAGATTTAGTGTTTCTGGTTTAATATTGAGATCTGTGAACCATTTTGACTTGAGTTTGGTGCATGGTGATAGGCTTGGGTCTATTTTCAG